TCGCTCTATCGCCAGGCTAGAGTGCAGTGGCGTGATCCTGACTCACTGCAACTTCCATTTTCCGGTTTCAAGCAATTCTCCTGCCTCAGCCTCCCAAGTAGCTGGGACAACAGGCATACACCACCATGCCCGGCTAGTTTTTTGTACTTTTAGTAGAGACGGGGTTTCACCATGTTGGCCAGGATGGTCTCGATCTCTTGACCTCGTGATCTGTCTGCCTCGGCCTCCCAAGCATTTCTACTTCTTATATATGCTGGATATGATATGCTAATATTTTATGGAGGGTTTTTGATAGCCTGGGGCTTCTCTGCAAGCTTGTTAATGACTCAGCCCACGCTGGGTCCTTTCCTTTGAAATATTCAAGTATTCATAGTCCTGTGTGGGTTATTCTGAATCCTGGCCTCTCTTTCCTCTCTCTGTGGTTGGTGTTCTTCTGGCTTTATCCGTTTCTCCTTTTTGCCTACATGTTAGAAAAACATGAAGTTACACAACTCAATTCAGGAACAGGATTTAGGAAGAAGTATTTGAGTCCAGTAGTTAGCTTCGAATTGATTTGCCTCACATTATTGAGGTCCTACCAAGTGCTCCGTCCCCGTTGTCACCTCAGAAGAACAGCTGATTTGCATTTATCTGAGCAGTCTAGTTCTCCATTACCAGGCACATGAGAGGAGGCACTGCCGAGGACGAACCTGCCGTCCATGTCTCTTGGTGGCCTCCCTGTTTCCTCCAGAGGCATCCAGATCCGGGCAGAGCCACAGCCCGCTTCCCGGGGACTGAAAGGCCATCTTTGTCTTTCCACCGGAGGCTTTTGCAGCGGCCAGGAGGCCTGAAAAGGACGCGGTGGGGGAAATGTCGGGAGTGGCCAGGTTCTGGCCACGGGTTATTTTTAAACAGCGAAGCCCGAACGTTCTGGAAGGAGGTCTTTGTTTTCACTTGGCGCAAAAGTGAGAGAGCAAAAGAGAATGCGGGCAGCAGGGGACGGCTGACTCCACGCCTGCCTTCTGCGACGACTTCAGCCGGACCTGGGGCTGCAGGTCACAGTGGCCATGACTGAACTGGCGACACGGTCGAGAGGCTGGAAGAGGAAGAAAGGGGAAGGAGTCCACGCCGCAGCTAGGGAGATCCACCACAGCTGGCTTTTTGCTCCCTAGAAAGTGCAGCGGCCAGAGAGCCGGAGGGAGAGGCGGTCCCCAGGAAGGGAAGTTGTTCCTCAGAGCCGGGTCTGGGGGCAGGAGAGGGGCCGGCTAATGGCCTGCAGAAGTGGCGAGGCCAGCGGCCTGCTTGCTTGGCTCAGCAGTTTAGTTTGTGGGAGAGTTTGCACAGACGGAATCCCAGGCTCAGTGTGAGCATATTGTCGACAATCTGAGCAATCTGGGTGGCCAAGCCATCGGGGGAGCTTTTTCGTTGGTCTCATCAGCTGTCTGCACCCTCCTACAGGAGGTACCGCCTACCTGAGTCCCTGGAGGCTCCCGGGGGCCTTTCTACCACCCGCTGCCCTCCTCTCACACCCGGCTCCCCCCCCACCCGGCCCCTCTCCACCTGGCCCCTCTCCACCCGGCTCCCCTCCCAGCCCCTCTCCACCCGGCTCCCCTCCCAGCCCCTTCCCCCCCCCGCCCCTCCCCCCCCCCCCCCCCCCCACCCCCCCCCCCCCCCCCCCCCCCCCCCCCCCTTCCCCCCCGCCCCCCTCCCCACCCCAGTCCCCATTACCTTGCTAGAACTGACATAGCCTCCTGCAAACTGACTTCTGTGTCTCTTCTCTCCCATCTCCAGTCCACCTGCTATTAGATTCATTTTCCTTAAGAACAGTTCTGCTGTGGCTCTACTCTGCTTAATAACCTTCACTGGCTCCCCATTGCCCACCTGGCACGTCTACTTCCCCTGCTTGGAATCTGATGCCCCCTGCATCCTGCCAGCTTTGATTCCCGTCACACCTCTTCACATGTCTGTGCTGTTTGCCTAACATGGACAACAACCCTCTTGTTCCCAAACATGCCCTTGTGCTTTCCTGCCCCATGCCTTCTGTGGCTGTGTTCCCACTGCCAGAAGCCTCCGCTTCCCCTTCTCTGTGTGTTGGAATCCTCTGGTGGAGGCCACACCAGGGCCATGTGTACTCTTCATAGAGGACCTGCCTGACCTCTCCTTTCTCCTGGCATCATTCCTCACAAATCATAGCTCTCTGGTGGCATTTATCCCATTTTGTCGCTGTTACTTGTGTCTGGATCTTGAGCTCCTTGTCCTTTAGGACGGGGTCCACGTCTCAGCTGTCCTCATGTCGTGCTCGTCTGGTGATCACATGCTGCACTTAGAGGAACCATCATTTTTGTGCTACTTTGTGCCAAGACCTTAAACATTATCCCATTGGTTCCTCCCAACAAACTTCTAAAAGGAGTTTTAATACCTAACACCTGGCCGGGCGCAGTGGCTCATGCCTGTAATCCCAGCACTTTGGGAGGCCGAGGTAGATGGATCATGAGATCAGGAGTTCAGGACCAGCCTGGCCAACATGGTGAAACCC